GGGGGGGAACTATGCCCACTACTCTGGGGAGATTTGTCTGAAATCTTTTTCATTCACCTTTGCTTTTTATAAAACTCCTTAGCTTTTCTATTGCCTTTTTAACGTGGATCTAACACAGATTTATTCGCGCATCATGCAGCATCTTCCGTTAACTGAACGTTTCTTTTCGGTGCACGTATTACCTTTCGGTATTGCGAGGCTGCTGTCGAATCGAGACCAAGCACGTTTGACGTGGGGATACATCTCCTGAAGTATTTTTGATGGTGTACTGTGATGTTGCTGTGGTGCACCGCATTCCAATTTCGGGAAATTGTATAGAGTAACAAATTCAATGGTGATCTTAAGAGTGTTTAGGAATTTTATCGGTAGCATCGTTGGTTTTACCATCCCTAGGCACCGTCTGAAAATATTGGCAAACGATTTATCTTGGCTACGTTTCTATGCAGTGAGACATGTCTCATTGTCAGTCACTAATATACATGGTACTCTATCTTAGCCGGAAGATTTCTAGACATCCACATTTGACGGGGCAGTGAGGTATGCCTTTGGCTAGGGAGATTGAGTTGGGAATAACCGAAATGCATACCATTTTTAGCATCTATGCTTTCCTGAGCCTCACAAGTAATCAACTAAAGTGTGTCTTAAGATGAACCTTGCGCAAGTAATGTGCACACTTTCTGGAACTTTTGCAGATTTCATCATTATTCCCTACTACCAACATGCAAGACTTCATCCTGAAATCCGAAAAGTTAGAGCGTAATTCCTTCAGATTACGGTATTTTACGAATAATATTATTCCGTGAAATCAGCTATGGCTATGCAAGGCGAAATCTACTTGGAGTGGTGGAGCATTCAAGAGTACCACGAGATTGAAAACTGAATAAAATTTCCGCTAGCTTAGTGTAGTCGAGGATGAAGCGTCAACAGTGCTGAATTAGAGTCAACTAAAGAGCAAAAATCGCCGAAAGTGTTTGAAATTAGACAATTATCTATCAAAAATTCGAAATGCACACTGATATGTAGAACAAAACGACATAAAAGCCTAATCCCTCAGATAATGCATACAGTCTTTTACCATAAATCTGGGTGCTAAGGTTATGAAAAAGCTAGGAACAATGCCCAAAGTTGATGACGGAACGATAGTAAGTACCTCCTTCCTTTAGTTGGTCGAATGCTTTCCCGACGAATTCGCACAACCCAAAAGAAATCATTCAAATCTTCATAAATATTTAAAATGTTTCATCTCGAGCGACACAGGCTTAACCTTCAGTCCACCAAATACCACGGCGCGCCAATGCAATAGATTGTAAGGTCCAGAAAATGCATACACTTCAAACCAATGATCGAGGGACCATAATCGATGGTCACGACCTGCCATTTACTAGGCTTTTGATAATAGATACCAAGGAGCTGGAGGAAGCCCAAAACCGGAAATGAGCTTACTCAATAAATCCCACAGAAGCTTCAGAGGGGTTTGCATCTGCATTAGGCTTGAGACATTTAAGAAAATTAATGGAAATACAGAACTTAATTTTGGATGTTCCAATGCCGAAGAAGTGTCTGTACGCATTACCAAACGGGTAGGATCGGCTGAACGGACTATCAGGATCGGAAGGAAGCGAGAAAGAAAGTCGGGACTAAGATATTCTTTATGAGGAGCTGTATGTACATTACAGGTCTTTGAGCTGCGGAGAAATGACTAAATATGTCCCTGCTTAGCACATCTCAAAAATCTGATACTTCGAAATCGAAGGGTCAGACGACAATACTTCGATCCGCATGATCCATGACAGCTTCATCTTTTTGTGACATTTAATTCTGGTTGCCACTTGACTCCATACTGCGCTTAATTACATACTTTGATAGCCCGCTTCTGTCGTATCCAGACCTTTTGGGTTGGTTGCGTAGAATTACTGGTTTTACAGTCATAGGAGCCCTCACTTCCCAATACTGTTGTCGTAGAGTTCGAACAGATTGAGAATTGGGATCTGCATTTGATAAGAGCTTTCGTTGCACCTCTAGAAAATATACCCCCAATAATTAGTCTGCCGCAGGGTTAAACCGGTAGTTAATTATGGAAATCGCAGAGTTGCTTGAGTCTGAACTTAGTTCATGGAGCTTCCGACAGCCAGATTCTCTTCTCTCGTGTATTTAGAAACTAGCTCGTTCAGCTGCCTCGAAGTTCACGGACTGCACATGAGAAAGCAGAACTTTTTCCAAGCATCTGCATGGAAGTAAAACTGAGGATTTCAGAAATTATATTTTTTATTAGAGGATAAACATCCTTCCTATTCACTGTAGGGAAGTGATCCGTTTCCTTCTCCGCCTTCAGGTTCTTACAAAATATACACCAACTAGTGAAACATCCAGTGTAATCTTCAATTTCATAAGCCATGAAAGTACGGAACTTCGAGTTAGCAAAAAATAACATTCGGAGACTAGTTCCAATGTCCTTAGTAGAATAGTCATATGAAGCACAGGCCACTTAAACCCGAATTGCACTTTGCTGAACTTGGTCTATGACCACAATAGTAAAGAAAACATGGGAAAGGAAATCAGGTACAGTGAAAACTTACTGCCTGGGTACCCCAACTTTAACGGTACTGATTTCGTTCACGCGCTTTTGAATTGCCCGTTGTTACAATGCATTTCACCCTATCGTTTATGTAGTTAAACTCATTAATTTACTCGTTTGAAGTTATTCATTTAAGAAGTTGTTAGTAATATCTGGGTTTTGCATCAACCAAATGTTTTTTGACCCATGTGGTTTTTACATCCTTTAACTTAGATGAAAATTAATGTTTTGGGTGTATTTTTACTGCCAGATCATTCGATGCATAATTTAAGGCTCGAACAGTAGATTCGTTCAACATGACGGGATAACAATTTAGTAAAATTAGCTCTTCGGTTTATGGTAATCGTACTTGGGATCATTCCCATTATCATCTGGCTATAAATAGAACCGATCCTAAGCATTCGAGTCACATGAGTCATTCGATTTAGTGAGTGAATATGGTTGAGAAATGGCGAAGTATGCACAACCCTGTTTTGCGACGACTGAAAATGACCAGATTTGGTGTAGTATCCCCTATATAACGCCAGTTTCCCTGACGAGGTACTATAATCGGAAACAACCTTCTCACATCCTGCCCATGGCTTCAATGGGTAAAACAGAATTTCAAATGCTTGTAATGCCATTATGTGCGAAATTTATTATTGAAGGTATGGATAACATGAATTCCGAATCTGCAAGTTCAACCATGCATTTAGCTGAATTAGCTTTTTCGCTACCACCGTTTGCACTCCCATTTCCGTGGCATGGTTAGAAGGCCATATCCACAGCCTTCTAGACCTTCTGTAAGTCATTAGTAAAACTTCCTTCTCAAAGACTAATTGTGACTTCAGGGATGACCTGAAGCACTCCGCCAGTAAAGGGAAGGAGCGAAGCCAAATTTGCAGAAGTGGTGTCCGAGACCAGTAAGTAATTCAAGATACGATCATACCATTGAAATGGAAGACTCTTCTACAAAGAGGGAAACACAGGATCCAAGACGGGACTTTACAATACTTTGCTGAATGCCATTTTGAATAAGCATGGCTCCCCCAAAATATGGCTCACCTCGCTGGTGACCATCACCAGCATTGAGGGAAACTTGCGTGGTCCGGACACGGTCTGACCAGTTTTAAGGTGGGTGCATCATCTCTACTATTGAGGCCTGAAGTTTGCTACACTGCGTAGTCATTTCACAAAGACAACGTCATGCATGAAGATTGGCAAATCCACTTCAAGGTTGGCTATGAGGTGAAGAAACGCAATGGACAGTGGCTTTAGACTTCCCGTCACCAATTGCTACTTAAATTTATGGTTTTGACCTTTGTTGTGCCATAACTTTCGCTTATTCTTTTTTTCTTAAAAACAGGTTAAAAATACTAGCCTTGTTTAAACAGTATCAGAATCACTTAGGACGAAAGTATCAATCACCTCGTTTTAAAATGGCAGCAAATTGTTTCTCTGCTAGACTGGAAGGACCAAGGTATTTCCTAACGGGGAAAATAATGAATGACGGCAGCACACATGACCCAACACTCCTGTAGTTGACATTTCCTCTATGCAGAGGGGAAAAATCCCAATACAGCCAACAGGAAATACGGACAAGGTATTGGTGCGCGTTACAACGAGGCATTCCGCTCCCACGATCTGGTTTAGAACTAAAATATTGCTGGGGGAAACCAGGAAATCAAAATTTCTTGGTTAAACTTTTGGAGACACTGTGTGACAAGACACATTCCACTGTGATGATAGGAATGCTGCGTGGTCGATAGCCACTTTGTGCATTGGCCAGGACGTGCCTTCTGCACAGCCCAGCACAAATAAACGGTAGTTACTTTAGTCTCCTTTTGAGAAAAGACTGTCAATTCCCTGTCCTCAGCAAATAACAAAAGCATTGCTTAACCATCTAGACGGTCAGCATCTCAATTTCTAATAGGCTAGTGCCAAAATCGGGCCCAGACATTCAAGGTCAAAGGGTAGGCAAGCCCCATGCTTTAGGGCGTGGATTGCTGCAAAAAAACAGGACTTCAGTGAGTCGGTTTTAAGCTTAGCTGAACTAAACAGGACGCGCCCCGCAATTGTTTCAAGTGACATTACAAGAGCAATCACACAGATCGACTCTCCTTGCTAATACGTCAAAACTCATGAGAATTGGTTCCCCTGGTTTATTCATTTGCATCACGGATGGGATGAATCAAATAAAAGCTCTTTCTGCTAAAAGATAATGGACTGCATCCCAACTTTTGCTTTTTACATGTCCAATCTCCACCATCAATCGCCAATAGCTACATTCCCAACCTCCGAACGGGGAATGACAGTGAATGCACTTCAATTTGGACAGGGCATTCTAGACAAAAACACCAAAACATTCCATTTCGGACCCAAACTGACGCTTATGCAAAGTACCTAGAGTAATATCCAAACGCCAAAGTTAAGGCTGACATATATGCAACAGACAACAAATGGCTGTCTTGACATAAGCCAAGAAAATTTCTTTAAAAAGTAGTACCACCCATGACATCATAAGTCCATGAAACCACGCGCACATTATTAGATAAAACCCAACGAAACCAAGACTTTAAAACAGCAGCTATCTCATACCGAAGTATGCAATAATTACCATTAGTTGCAATTTAATGACTGCAGCAACCGCTGCGTCATGGTATCCTCGTCTGAGAGTGAGCAAATGCATGGTTCAATGGTTATACTGTTATTCACATGGGGCATAGTTTCCAAGACGTCATGGTTGCAAATGAGGCAAGCGAGCGAATAGACAAAAAGTACAAGACTAATTGCCCTAAATCATGATGCTCAGAGTCGTGCGATTAAACACCGGACCCAATGGTCCAGTCAATCTAGTGACATCAATAACCCTCCTGAGTGGACACCGCGTAAACCAACCTGTCCACAGATAGCTATTGCGTAGCAGTGCATCCGTGTACCATAAGGCCAGCTAAATGGGAATCAACATTAAATCTTAAGAAAATTGGTCAAAAGCTACAACAAATATCACCTTACGACAGTCCCAAAGTAGTAAAACGAGCTCACTCATTCTAGCTAGTGGTAAATATCGATAAATGCATGAATAAATAATACACCAGACAAAAATTCGGTTGCTTATTGGGAAACCCAAGCAGGTTAAACACATGCTAGAACTTTGACAAAGCCAACTGGGGCAGAAGCATAAACTCATGCAGTTTTTTTGGAAAGACGAGACCAAATGGTCATTAGTTTCCAGCTAAAGTACAATGTGAAACAGTGAACTTGAATGCACACAGAAAAGAAGATATAAAGGACCACTACGAATGGGAAGTTGAAGAAATCGTGCCTTGAATTTTTTGTGTAATAGTAATCCATGAGTTCATAGGCTCTCAGGAAGCACCCCATGATTATGGGAACAAAACCAAAAGCAATTGTCCCCACCAAGGAAAATCGAATGAGATAAACCTTGTTCTTTGTGACAGATAAGTATCCAAAGAGCACTGGAATAGTGCTTCCAAAGCACCAGGCGTATTCCCACAATTCGTTTAGAGGAAGGGGGTGCTTAATCAATAATACACAATGAAAAGGTCATACCTTCCTCATGAATGTACGAGAAACCAAACCAAACCTGAATAGTATTTCGGGGAGAATTTTTATAGCAACTAGGATCCACAAAGCGATATGGAGCGCCAAGGCCGTGCGCAACCGTTTCTTAAAAAGTGAACTAAACATAAGGAGTTCAATCAATAAATTTGAAGAACCTTTGGTTGTATGGCTCAGCAATACGCTCTCGATG